GGGGGGAAGGAGAAGGATTGGGATTGGGGGGGAGGGGGGAGGCTGGGAAGGGATGTGAAGGGTAAACAAAGGAGGAGGCTGCAATTCTTGGTAAGAAATGTACATATTATCCCGCCCATGTAATTGTAACCCCTCTGTACAGTATGTTCACAAATAAAATAAAATTAAATTAAAAAAAAATTTATCCCAGGTACTGGTAGCTCAATTCTGTTATTTAAACTACTCAGGAACCTGAGATCTGAGGATAAAAGTTTGAAGCCAGTCCAAGCAGAAAAGACCATGAGATTCTTTAACTCCAATTAACCAGCAAAAGGCCAAAAGTGGAGGTTCAACTCAAGTGGTAGAGCTCCAGCCTTGAGTAAAAGGCCAAGTGAGAGTTCAAGGAGCTTAGTTCAAGACCCAGTACCAACACACAAAAATGTATCAATAAAAATTTTAAATAGAAAACTGAATTTAAGAGTAAAAGTATACTGCTACCTTCATAATGCCATTATTTTACCAAAAGCATGATGAAATTACATTTCTTCAAAATAAACTCTATTCCTTATATCAGTACAATTAAGACTACTCACTTTTTCTGGTTTTGACTCCTCTTCATTTTCATCATCAGAGGAGGGACCTGCCAAAGTTGACACTTTGCTAATTACACCAAGTCTGGCTAGCTGATCCAAAAAAATATCACCACCTTTATCTACTAAATCCCTTATGATCTGCAAAGCAAGCAAGTGGCCATCATCATCATCCTGGAGAAGGGAGGGAAAGAGCACACAACAGCAAGGAAATTAACAGAAAATGACAAAAGTAAGTTTAGTCCCTTTGAGCAAACAAATACAGTAATGTGTACAAAATGACTTACTGAAATTAGAACAAAACTTTTATTTTTACTACTATCTAAAGGAAATTAAAGCTGTAAGAGTTTTAGACAGATGAGAAACTGACCTCTTGATCAAGAACAGTTGCAGTGATTTCCACTAGTACTGTAGGCAAATTATGACCAACATCAGAGTCACAAACTTCTTTTAACAGTGCTTCAGAGCAAAAATGAATCATTTTTCGAATTAGAGCAAGACTTGCTTTCCTTGAGAAGTGAAAAAAGAAAGAAATTTATGAAAGAAATGTTAAGACGCTAAAATTAGCAAAAACACAAACTATGTAATAGTTAAAACTAAAGTGGGGCCAGATGCTGGTAGCTCATGCCTGTAATCCTACTCAGGAGGCTGTGATCTGAGGATCTCAGTTCAAAGCCAGCCAGGGCAGAAAGAAAAGTCCTCATGAAACTCTTATATTGGAAGTGAAGCTGTGGTTCAAAGTGGTAGAGTGCTAACCTTAAGCAAAAGAGCTCAGGGACAGGACACAGGCCCTGAGTTCAAGCCCCAAGATCAGCCAAAAAATTTTTAAAAAGCACTTAATTAAAAAAAAAAAACTGGTTTCTTTTGAGTAATTTTATTTCCTGTCATTACTATTATTAATATGTTGAGGTAATCAAAACTGGCACTTTTTTTTTCCATTTTGCCAATTCTGGGGCTTGAACTTGGGGTCTGGGCACTGTCCCCAGGCTAGTGCTCTACCACTTTTAAGCCATAGCACCAGTTCTCACTTTTGGTAGTTAACTGGAGGTAAGAATCTCAGGAAAGTGCGTGAGACTCTTATCTCCAATTAACCACCAGAAAACCACAAGTGGCACTATGGCTCAAGTGGTAGAACACACACCTTGAGCTAAAGAGCTGAGACAGCGCCCAGGCTCAGAATTCAAACACCATGACTGACCAAAAAAAAAAAAAGAGAGAGAGAGAAAGAAAGAAAGAAAGAATCTCAGGACTTTCCTGCCTGGGCTGGCTTTGAACCTCAAGCCTCAGATCTCAGCCTTCTAAGTAGCTAGGATTACGGAGGTAAGTCACCAACTCCCAGCTTAGTAACTTCTTTTAAAATACACGAAATTATAAAATTATAAATTATAATCACTATATCAAGCATCAAATCCACAAGAGTCTATTGTTCAAATAACAAGCCAAAAACTGGAACTGGAGGCTGGACATCATTGGCTCATGCCTGAAATCCTAGCTATTCAGGAAGCTGAGATCCAAGGATCTAGATTTGAGGCCAGCTTGGACAAAGAAAGTCAGTAAGACTCTCAATTAAGTATCAAAGAAGCTGGAAGTGCAACTGTGGCCCAAGTGGTAGAGCACTAAACTTGAGCAAAAAAGGAGAGGAACAGTGCCCTGGCACTGAGTTCAAGCCACGGGACGGGCACACACACACACGGGCACGTACACACACACACACGGGCACGTACACACACACACGGACACACACGGACGGACACACACGGACGGACACACACGGACGGACACACACACACACACACACACACACACACACACACGGGCGTGAGGGCGGGTGCCAAAAGTAGAGCACTAGAAGTAGAGTGGTAGAGAGCACTAGTTTTGAGCAAAAAATATGAGGAACAGCACCAAGTCCCTTGGTTAGAGTCCCAGGATGAACAAACACAAGAACTAGCACTATACTAAGGAAATAGTAATTCTCTTATTTCTTCAGTACAGAAAAATGTAGGATTTACACTCATATGTATATGAGTACATTGTGCCTTAGTTTTCACTGCTTGATTTATTTACATGTGCTCTGAAATTTATATAATAAGGACAGTATTGTTTGGTTATATTTGCTAACAAACAGTAATCTATTGTCATAGTTATTTGAACTAAGTTTTATTCTTGGGCCTTTGTTGCTGTAGTCTTTGTGCTGACAGTAGGACCTGAACTAAGGGCCTCACTGCCTGTTTGACGTTTTGCTCATAGCTGGTGCTCTACCACTTGAAACACATTTCCACTTTCTCTTTTTTGATAGTAATTGAAAGGAAGAGTTTCTCAGCTTCCAACCTTAATCCTTCTGAGGATTAAGCCCCCTGAATAGCTACACTTACACAGTAGATTTGTATTTTTTGTATAAGACAAGTTTAAAATGACAGTTAGCCAGGCAAGGTGGGACATGCCCATAGTCACAACTATTCAGGAGATCGAGTTAGGAGGAGCTAGACTCTCGCTTCTCCCAATATGCTTCTCACACAGCTAGGATGACAAAACTATCCAGCTACCATTTAACACAAGGTATTGAAAACTTTCTGCTCAACCTCAAACCTCCCAATCTCAGCCTCCCAAGTAGCTAGAGTATATGCATGAGCCACTTACTCCTAGCAATTTTTTTTTTTTTTGCCAGTCCTGGGGCTTGAATTCATAGCCTAGGCGCTGTCCTTGAACTTCTTTTGCTCAAGGCTAGCACTCTACTACCTGAGCCACAGCGCCAATTCCTACTTTTTCTGAATATGTGTGGTACTGAGGAATCAAACTTAGGGCTTCATGCATGCTAGGAAAGCACTCTACCACTAAGCCACATACCCAGCCAAGCATGAGTTATTTTTAATGATTCTATAAAGATCTACCAAATTTAGGATAAACTTCTACAATAATGGTATTCTAGATTTGTTTTAAATACTTGATAAAACATATGCCAAAGTATTTTTGCAGAACAATTAATTCCTAAGTTGAATATGAAATAGAATGGCCTTATGTAATTGTAAGCCCAGCTCCTAGTCTGCATGGCAGCCAAAAACATTAACATTTATGAAATTGTATTTCAGCTTGCTTATGCCTACAAGTACCTGAACATAATATTAACCTAGGTCTAAAATTATTCCTACAACCCTCTTTCTGGGGAACAGTATTTAGAGCCTGATATGCTTGCTGAGCCACACTTCCAGTCCATTTTTAGGGGGAGGTGTAGGGGTGTGTGAGTGTGTTGGTCCTGGAGCTTGAACTCAGGGCACCATTCTGTGTGTGTGTGTGTGTGTGTGTTGGTCCTGTATTTAGAGCCTGATATGCTTGTTGAGCCACACTTCCAGTCCATTTTTAGTGGGAGGTGTAGGGAGTGTGTGTGTGTGTGTGTATCTGTGTGTGTGTATCTGTGTGTGTGTGTTTATGTGTGTGTGTGTATCTGTGTGTGTGTGTGTGTCTGTGTGTGTCCTGGAGCTTGAACTCAGGGCACCATTCCCTAGCTTTTGTGCTCAAGGCTAGTGCTCTACCACTTGAGCCACAGAGCCATTTTCCGGCTTTTTGTTGATTAACTGGAGTTAAGAGTCTCACAGACTTTCTTGCCCAGGCTGGCTTCAAATTGCAATCCTCAGATCTCAGCCTCCAGAGTAGGTAGAATTATAGCCCTGAATTACCAGCACCCAGCTATATTTATTACTTTTGAGATAGAGTCTCATTTTGGGAACAGGCCAGATTAAGCTGTGAGTCTCCTACTTGTGCTTCCCTGAGTTGCCCAGGATGACAGGCATGTAATCCCACATAACAGCTACTGGTGAAAATGAGGCCAGACTGGTCTGGAACTACAATTTCCTATCTCCAATTTCCAAGTAACTAGAATTATACACGTGAGCCATCATGCCCAGATGAACACATATTCTTCCCAAAAAACACAGTATATTTACAAAAATCCACCATGTAGCAAAATTCATACTATTTCTCTAACCATAATGCAACTAACCTAAAAGTCAACTCATAAAAAAAAAGTAACTTGTGCCAAGCACTAGCAACTTGCACCCGTAATTCTAGCTACTCAAGAGGCTGAAATTTGAGGATCACAGTTTAAAGCCAGCTCTGGCAAGAAAATCTGTGAGATTCTATCTCCAATTAACAACCAAAAAGCCAGAAATGGCACTGGCTCAAAGCAGTTCGAAATCAGCTGAATCAGTTAAGTCCATGAGACTCTTCTCTCTAATAAACTACTCCAAAAAAGCCAGAAGTAGAGCGGTGGCTCAAATGGTAGAGCAACTAGCTATAAGCACAAAAGCTAAGGGACAGTGCCCATGCCCTATTCAAGCCCTACGACAGATGAATGTGCACGTGCAAACATGAACACACACACACACACACACACACAGTACCAACCTGGTATTTGAGGCACTTTATTTTGTTGTAAAGGTGCTGTACAGAGGGGTTACAGTTACATAAGGTAATGAGTACATTTCTTGCTGAACATTGGTACCCACTCCTTCATTTTCCTCCCACTATCCCTTCCCCCAAGTATTTAAAAAAACCGAATCATACACATGTGCGCATGCGCACACATACATGCACATTTACACACACACCTTTTAAACTTAAAATGGCTAAAATCAAATTTCCATTCACTCAACAAAAAATGTGATAGCTATCTTTTCCTTCAATTTGCCTTGCACAGGTACCTAGTCACCAATTTATACAGAATCTATCTCCTAACTCTTGAATTTGTTATTTATTTTTTGCTAGGCCTATAGGCTGAACTCAGGGCCTAGGCTCTGTCCATGAGTTGTATGGCTACAGGCTAGTGCTATACCACTTGAGCCACACCTCTAGTTGCAGTTTTTTGACAGTTAATTGAAGATAAAAGTCTCACAGATTTTCCTGCCCAGGATGGCTTCAAACCATGATCCTCAGATCTCAGCCTGAGTAGCTAGGAATTTATAGAGCCACTGGTTTCCAGTTTTAATAATCTTTAACTAAGACTATACTTGGGGGCTGGGAATGTGGCTTAGTGATAGAGTTCTTGCCTAGCATGCATGAAGCCCTGGGTTCAATTCCTTAGTACCACATAAATAGATAAAGCCAGAAATGGAGCTGTGGCTCAAGTGGTAGAGTGCTAACCTTGAGCAAAAGAAGCTCAGGGGCAATGCCCAAGCCCTAAGTTCAAGCCCCAGGACTGGCAAAACATAATAAATAATGCTGCGATAAACATTGTTGTACTAGTAGCTTTAGAATGGCCTTGTTTGTTGTCATTTGGGTAAATTCCCATAAGTAGGATTGCTAGATCATAGGGGAGCTTTATGTATAGCCCCTTCAAGGAACCTACATACTGCTTTCCAGAGTGGTTGAACAAGTTTACATTCCACTAATAGTGTAGTAGCATTCCCTTTTGGCCACATCCTTCTAGCATCTGTTGTTATTAGATTTCTTGAATATAGGCCATCTGACTGGAGTGAGGTGGAATCTCCCTGTTGTTTTGATTTGCATTTCTTTTATGGCCAGAGATGTTAAACATTTCTTCATGTGTCTATTGGCCATTTTTATTTCCTCTTCAGAGAAGTCTCTCTTTATAAGTAGACATGGACACAAGAGGTTTTTCTTTGTTGTTATTCTTATCAATGTACTACCTGATTTCTTTTTTCTTTTGTGCTTTTTCCCCTACTATAGTTTATCCCGTTTTAACTGTATTTGATTTTGGTACCCTGGGTATTATATATATGTTTATCTGAACTAAGGAAGGGAAGGGGAACAAAATGGTGAGACAAAGGACAAAGGGGGAACCAATGCAACAGAGATACTCCCAAGACATTATGTTGGAAATAATCTGTACAACTTGGTGTGGCTTGGGAGAGGGAGGGAAGGGCGGGGGAGAAATGATGGAAGGGGTAACAAGTTAGGCAAGAAATGTAATCACTACCTTGCTTACATACCTGTAACCCCTCTGAAGGTCACCTTGACAATAAAATTTTTAAAAATAATAAAAAAAATTTTAAAAGACTATACTTGGTATCATAGCATAGAAGGGCCTTTGTCATTATTCACTGAGCTTTCTAAATATATGCTGTATTCCATTAATATCAACAGACCTGTAATTGCCGACCATTCATTCAGCAAATATATGTTGAGGACAAGTGTCAGGCCCTCTTCTCTATGTCCTTGCCTTTGTAGAAAAAGAGCAGTACATAAAACCAGCTTTTAAGTGTTTATTTTAGAGAGAGGAGAGAGACAATGAGCAAAAAGTAAAACCTTTAGGTAGTGTAAACTCTGTGAAGATAGTAAAATATGATATATATAAAGTGTCCTGCAGTTAAATTTAAATTAGGTAGACAACTTCAGTGAATGTAACATTTGAACTGAGATCTGAATGACTCAAAGCAACCCAATCTATGCAGATGACCCATTCTGAGAACAAAAAGTTTTAAACAGATGGAAAAACAAGTACAAAGGTCCTAATGTAGAGATGTACTTGCAGTGTTTAAAAACAGAAAGAAAACTTGTGTGTCACAGGCCTAGGGCTAGATAGTACTAAGTGAGGTCAGAGAGCTGGCTGGGTATTCTATAAAACCTTGAGAGCCTTAGAATTAAAGAGCTAGTTTAGGGCTGGGAATGTGGCTTAGCAGTAGAGTGCTTGCCTAGCATGCACAAAAAGCCCTGGGTTCAATTCCTCAACACCACATAAACAGAAAAAGCAGTAGAGTGCTTGCCTAGCATGCATAAAGCCCTGGGTTCAATTCTTCAACACCACATAAACAGAAAAAGTTGGATAAGTGACACTGTAGCTCAAGTGCTAGCCTTGAACATTAGGGACAGTGCACAGGCCCTGAGTTTAAGCCGCAGGACTAGCAAACAAAGCAAAACAAAAAGAGGTAGTTTATTTGTTTGAGGAAGGTGATCAGAAGGATTTATGTAAGTGCCAGTACTTAGGCCTTGAGCTCTTAGTATTTTTGCTCAAGGCTGGCACTATACCACTTGAACCAAAGTAGTCTGATTTATGACCAAGCAGAACTATCAGTGTTCAAATAGGCAGTAATGTGATATAAGTCTAATTTTAAAATATAATTCAGCCTAATATTTATGAATAGAGTCAAGAAAGAAAAACACCAGAAAATAACTAGTTAAAAGGCAATTAAAATATTCAAATTTATGATAACTTGAAAACCACAGTATTGGCAAACAGAAATGGCAGGTTATAGATACAATGTAGAGTAAAAGAGCCAGAAGAATCTACGGATAGATTGATTTATATCACCATGTGTTAGCACATTTCATTCCCCACCTATGCTTCCAAATACATCCACCTGGAAAACTACTTTGAAGACAAAATTTAAATCTCATCTCTGCACAAAATCTCCAAATTGCTCAAATAATCATTCCCAAAAATCTTTGTTGATATCCATTATCTGTCACCTCCACTCTGGATGCTTATGTATTTCTTCACTAGCTTGCAAAACCACAATAAGCAAAAACCATCTCTATTTAGCCACACTTCCAGTGGCCATTTCACACTGACCCTATCAACAAGCTTCCACAGAGCCCAATAAATATTTGCTATATTTCTCTAAGTGAGTTGATATTCTCCTGTAAACTACAAAAATGTGTTAAGAATCTAATCCTTGCCAGGTGCTGGTGGCTCATGCCTGTAATCCTAGATAGGAGGCTGAGACCTCAGGATCATGGTTCAAAGACAGCCTACACAGGAAAGTCCATGAGACTCGTATCTGCAATGAACTACCAGAAAACCAGAAGTGGTGCTGTGGCTGAAGTGGTAGAGCGCTAGCCTTGAGCTGAAGAGCTGAGGGACAGCGCCCAAGCCCAGAATTCAAGCCCACAACCACCAACAACAAAAAAGAAAACACCATAAGACAAAATGGTTTTCCTACTTCTAACCTGTTACCATTTTGTGTGCACACACACACATGCTAGTCCTAGGGCTTGAACATGGCTTGGACACTTTTCACTCAAAGCTAGTGTTGTGCCACTTGAGCCATAGCACCACTTCTGGCTTTTTGTTGGTTAGTTGGAGATAAGAGTGTTACGGACTTTCCTGCCTGGGCTGACTCCTAACTGCAGTTCTTAGATCTCAACTTCCTGAGTAACTAGGTTTATAGGTGTGAACCACAAGCACCCAACTCTAATTGTTATTCTTTTTGCTGTTGTTGTTGGTTGTGGGGGCTGAACTCTGGGCCTGGGTGCTGTCCCTCAGCTCTTCAGCTCAAGGATACCTCTTGAGTCACAGAGCAACTTTGGGCTTTTTTCTGCTTATGTGGTGCTGAGGATTCAAACCCAGGGTCTCATGCATTCAAGGCAAGCACTCTACCACTGAGCCAACTTCCCAGCCCTAATTGTTATTCTTAATATAGCTTTTTTTTTTTTTTTTGGGAGGGGGGTCCGTCACAGGACTTGAAGTCAGGGCCTAAGAGCTGTCCCTGAGCTTTTTCACTCAAGGCTAGCTCTCTACCATTTGAGCTCTGGCACCATTTCCTTTTCTGGTGGTTAACTGGAAGTAAAAATCTCATGGCCTTTCCTGCCTGGGCTGGCTTTTTGTTGTTGTTGGTCATGGGGCTTGAACTCTGGGCCTGGCGCTGTCCCTCAGCTCTTCAGCTCAAGGCAAGCACTCTACCACTTGAGCCACAGCACCACTTCTGGTTTTCTGGTGGTTAACTGGAGATAAGGGTTTCACGAACTTTCCTGCCTGGGCTGGCTTTGAACCGCGATCCTCAGATTTCAGCTTCCTAAGTAGCTAGGATTACAGGGGTAGCCACCAGTGTCCGGCATTTAATATAGCTTTTAATTGTTAAACCTCAAATCCTTATTGAAAAGGTAAATATAAAAAGTAATTAGTATCATGTAGCCCAGAGATACAAACAATATGAATAAATACCTTATTGAAGGCAGCATGGTTTGCTGAAATGTTTGTGCAAACACTGGCAATAACCTTTTCAAGTATATTGGTGCCATTTCTGGATCTCCTTTGGGCTCATTACATTCTTCTTCATCCTTATTTGTATCTTTCTTTTTCTTATCATCTCCTTTATTAACTGGACACATCCAGTCACCTACAAATAAAACATTATACAAAGAATTATTTTCAGAAACATTTTATTTTGAGGGGAAAAAAAAATCTTAAGATATACCAATATTAGCAGGCTTGGAACACAGCTTAATTGGTAAAGCACCCACTTAGCAAGCAAAAGTTACCAGTTCATACCCAAGTACCACCAAAATTAAATAAGATATAACAACCTCAAATTGCAATCATCTAATGGGCAGGGACATGGATACCTAATGGCAGAGTGACTGCTTAAGCATGTGTAAGGTCTTGGGTTGGATCCTCACACCAGGAGGATCCAGAGGGGAGGATATAAAATTAGGTAATATCTGTTGATGGTCTTTTTACAAATATTAACACTTTTAATGAGATGAGTAACACATTAAGGAAATCATTTTGATACCACCTTTGATTCTAAAAATTACCGCACAAAGGCTTTACATTCATCAACTCCAAGGTTAAGTAAATTAATCTGTACAATACCTCTGAATTTTATTGGTTCTTGAAACATGTAGTCAGTCTCAAGAAAATGTATTAATCTGCACAATACCTCTGAATTTTATTGGTTCTTGAAACATGTAGTCAGTCTCAAGAAAATTTATCAGTAGCTGCTAAAGATTTAACAAATAAAAGGAGACACATATTTTTTTTTGTACGAATGGTTCACTTATATTATGTTCATGTGTCTACAAAAAGCTACTTCTGTGGAAGTGAAGATGAAAAATAATATTACATAGCCTAAAAGGAATTTACTACTCACCAGGAGACTGAAGAATAGCTACAACTTCACTATGGCCTCTTTCACGAGCTTTATCTAATGGAGTTTTCCCATCTTCATCTCTTAAATCTGGATTTGCACCATGCCTTAACAGAGTCTTGAGAAGAAAAACAATGTGAATACCTTGTTTCTTTAACATCTAACCCAGCAATCTATAGAGTTTCCATAATTAGTTAAATTATAGAGATACTAATCCAAATCTGCTTTTGCATTTGTCACCTTAAAAGCAGCTATTCATAAGTGGTGCTGTGCTCAAAGTGGTAGAGCACTAGCCTTGAGCTGAAGCACTCAGGGACATCACCCAGACCCAGAGTTCAAGCCCCGTAACTGACAAAAAAAAAAAAAATCAAACTATTTTAGCTGGGTGCTGGTGGCTCATGCCTATAATCCTAGCTACTCAGAAGCTGAGATCTGAGGATCACAGTTCAAAGCCAGCCAGGGCAGGAAAGTCCATGAGACTTTTATTTATCTCCAATTAACCACCAGAAAATTGGAAGTGGTGCTGTGGCTCAAGTGGTAGAGAGCTAGCCTTGAGCTAAAGAGCTCAGGGACAGTACCCAGGCCCAGAATTCAAGTCCCAGGACCAACCAAAAATTTAAAAAAAGCAGTTATTCATATCTTGAGAAAGTAGACTAATTACACATGGTTTTTTTAATTATTACTGCCTGAATGTATCACTTCATTAAATTATTCTTCCTAATTTCTGCATTAACAGAGTACTATTTAGGGGCTGGGAGTGTGGCTTGCCTAGCATGCATGAAGTCCTGGGTTCGATTCCTCAGTATATAATTCCTCATATAAATAGAAAAAGCCAGAAGTGGTACTGTGGTTCAAGTAGTAGAGTGCTATCTTAGAGCAAAAGAAGCTCAAGAACAGTACCCGGCCCTAAGTTCAAGCCCCAGAACAAACAACAAAAAACAGAGTACTATTTAGCTTGTGATCTGTAATCAATTCCAATATTTCCTACACAATGCCAATTAGTATATTTTGACTAAAAAGTCATCAAGATCTGTTGTCTTTCACTGCCACTAGCATTACCTTAACCTTTTATAACCTCAAACTAAGAATACTTAATCACAATGGTTCAAAAAACTTTATTAACTGGCATTAAATCTAAGTGATAAAAGAGTGTTATGTATGAGACCTTTGACTCCATTCCCAGGAAGGTCAGGAAAAGGGATTCTTGAAATGCAACCTCTAAAACATGCTTTGTTAATTATTAATCACCCTTAGAAACACCACTCTCTTTAAAAACTAACCAACTGATAAGCCAGTCATGGTGGAACATGACTATAATCTCAGTTACTTAGAAGACAGAGATCAGGAGGTTAGCAGGTCAGGGTAGCCAGGAACAAACAGGAACAACAACAACCTGTTTGAAAAAATTAAGTAAAAAAGAAAAAGGGGCAGCACCAGTGGCTCATGCCTGTAATCCTAGCTACTCAGGAGGCTGAGATCTGAGAATTGCGGTTCAAAGCCAGTCTGGGCAGGAAAGTCCATGAGACTCTTATCTCCAATTAACCACCAGAAAACCAGAAGCAGCACTGTGGCTAAAGTGGCAGAGCATTAGCCTTGAGCTGAAGAGCTGAGGGTCCCACGACCAACAAAAAAAAAAAAGGGAGGGGGTAAGGAGGAGACACAAAAATGGAGGGAGAAAGGGTGAACAAATGCAGCAGTGGTAGTCACCAGCCACAATATTGAAAATGAACTGTACAATTTGTGGGTAGGGATGGGAGGGAAAAATTGGGAGAGAGCAAAGGAAGGGGTGACACTGCCCAAAAAGGAATATACTCTTTACCTGATTACATAACTGTAATCCCTTTGTACATCACCTTTATAATAACAATGAAAAAAATTAAATTTAAAAAGAAAAAGCAAAATGAATAGGGAAGCAAAAAGGGTTAGGAGCTGAAGTGATAGTGTGCTTGCCTAGCAAGTATGAGGCCTTGAGTTCAAAACCTCAGTACCCCATGTCCTACCCACAAAGACTCAAACTTACAAAATTTGAGATTAAGGAGACATCTTTTTCTATTTAAAAACCTACTATATTGAATGGTGAAGGAGTCGACATTGATCAGGATACATTGTACGCATAAACTGACATGTTGAATTGAAACTCCTTTGTATAACTACTTAAAGACAAACTATATGAAAGAAAACTACTATATCACTATCAAAAATTTTCTGTACTGTAAAGGTGACACTGGTGGTTCACTCCTATAATTCCAGATACTCAGGAGGCTAAGATCTGAGGGTTGTAGTTTGAAGCCAGCCCAGGCTATAAAGTCAATGAAACTCTTTATCTCCAGTTAACCATGAAGAAGCCAGACGTAGAACTATGGCTTACCTAATAGAGCACTAGCCTTTAACACAAAAGCTCAGGGACAGCATCCCGGTTCTGTGTGTAGGGGTAGTGCATGCGCACGCACACCCAGACCCAAAGGTGACAATATCAACTATCATCTGAATACCTAAGATATGATGACTACAGTGCGTTACATGTAGTTTAATTCTCAATTTTATTTATTTATTTTTGCTGGTCATGGAACTTGAACTCTGGGCCTGAGCACTGTCCATGAGCTCTTCAGCTCAAGGCTAGCGCTCTACCACTTGAGCCACAGAGCCCACTTCCGACTTTTTCTGTGTATGTGGTGCTAAGGAATCGAACCCAGGACCTCATGCATGCAAGGCAAGCACTCTACCACTGAATCTCCTTCCCAGCCTCCAAAATAATTTTGCTAGGGAAATATATACAAAACTTATTTTACAGACAAATAGTTATAGTGGGAAGAGACATGGGGAGATACAGATACTTGAGGCATAATTTAGCAGAATAACATTTTATGTATCATTCTAATTTTTGAACAATGTAATTTGAAAAATCAATGGTGTTAAACACTAGACCTTCTTTACCTTTGCTACTTGAGGTCTTCCAAAACAGGCAGCATAATGTAATGATGATGACCTTTGACCCCTATTAACATCAGCACCTCTCTCACAAAGAAATTCTACCTATAGAAAAAAAATCATAAAAGTTGCTTTATTTATACTTCTCTCTTTCATTTAAAATACTAGCTGATATATTAGCTTACCATTTCCTGAGTTCCAAAGGCAGAGGCCCAGTTCAGTAGAGTCTGACCCACATCATCCATAAAGTTCACTTCAAAGGCTAAAAGTTTAAAAGAATTTCATTTTTACAACCAATAACATAATTCAGAGCTTTTCTAAATTTGAACCATTTAAAAATTATAAATAATCCACTAACTACACAGCCAAGAGGTTGTTTTAAATGCCAAGGTCAATTATTTAAATAATTACTTTAGTATTCTAAAAATTTTCAACCACTGAGGATTCCTAAGGCCTTAAAAAACAAACATGAAATAAGGAAAAAAATCAGCTTAACAGGGTATGAGTTGTATTATAATCTAACTTTGGAAAAGCTAATCCATACCTATCTTTCAAAGAACCCAAAAGAACAAGCCTGACGATCCAGAAGAATCTTTCATGAATTTGCTCATCACCTCATATATACATATATATATATATATATACACACACATATATATACACATATATATAAATACATTTACACACATATATACACATGTATATGTTACTACAATTTACTCTAGTCAATTTCCATCAATCTTAATAAAATAGCACTAAATTCAATCAGTGATTCATCTTAGAACTGGCAGGCTCTCCCTTCAAGTATTAATACAGATAAATTTCAAATACTGTTTTACTCATTCAATAGTCTTACCATGCATCAGGCAGATAATTTAAGCATATGGAAATGGGAAACTATTTTAAAAGATTGGCCATAGCACAGTTATGTGAAAAAACTAATTGCCTTTAATCTCTTATCTCATAATATTAACAAAAAATCTGACCTCCTGTGTCAATTGCATCTATAAGTGCATCAGTATCTTTACTTCGAATACAGTCTATAAGCTGCCGATGTGAACGTTCCCCAGAACTATCCAATCTCCGAAGTCCTGGGATTCTGCCTGTAGATCCAGCACTAGACTTAGGCAAAGCTTTTCGTCCTTCAAATAATAGCACCAACAGAAGATCAACCAAACGCATGGTATCAAGCACACATCTTTCATCACCCTGTAATGCACTCTCAATTGAATCTGGAAGCTCTGACCTAAGGAGATCCTAGGAAGAGAATACAACAAAATATTTTATATATTTTTAGTATACAAAAACATTTTTTTCTAAAAGATTAAAAAGCAAAGATTAAAAAACATTCTTACGTGTGTTACTACCGGAGAGCCTCTGCAAAGTGTTGAGAGCAAACTTACAATCGTTGACACTTGGTTACTCAACTTGGAATCAGCAGTTGTGGAAGGGGCTCCAGTGGTGCTTCGACCTGGTTTGCATGCTGATGAGGGTCCTGATACAGTACCACCAGCAGCTGCCATTCGAGATAAGAGTTCCTCAGTTAATCCATGTTTGGCTAATGGAGCTGGGTCAACACCACGACGAGTAAATCGGTCTGCTAGTGAGGCAAAACATCGCAGTGCTCCATCTGAAACCTGATGATGTAAAAAATAAGCACACAGATAAATTTAACCTAAATGGGGATTCTATCATATCATATACTATTACTATAAGAAAGGAAGCTGTTGTGAATGGAAATATAAAGTCTACCTAGATTTAATTGTGGCTCCATACTCAGCTAATGGTATAACCTGAGGACACTATCTAGTAAAGGCCTCAGTTACCTCATTTATAAAACAGATATAATAGTGGTACCTTTGTCTTATTTTATCAGCCTAAATGATGTAACACATGTAAAGAATGTAGATGGTAGGCAGACACAAGCTCAGCCTGCAATCCTAGCTACTCAGTAGCTAAGAGCTGAGGATTCCAGTTCAAGCCAGCCTGGGAAATCTTTTTTTTTTGTGTGCCAGTCCTTGGACTTGTCTGGGCCTGAGCACTGTCCCTGAGTCTCTTTTGCTCAAGAGCAGCATTTTACCACTTGAACCACAGTGCCATTTCCGGCTTTTTTGAGTAGTTTATTAGAAAGAAGAGTTTCATGGAGTTTCCTGCCTGGGCTGGCTTCAAACAGCAATCCTCAGATCTCAGTCTCCTGGGTAGTTAGGATTACAAGCATGAGCCACTGGTGCCCTCCTCAGCCTGGGAATTCTTTTTTTTTTTTTTT